AAAACCACACACACACACACACACACACACACACACACACACACACACACACATACATATATATATAATCCATTATCGTGGTTTTGTGAAAACTTTGGAGGGTTGAGGGAGAAACCTCTTGTGCACAGAATATTTATTTTTATTTGTTTTGTCTTCAGTATCCCTTTGGCTCCATGATAGTTTTCAGGTCTCTGGTGGCTCTTAACATTCAGTTTAGCTTAAGTAATGTGGCACAATATTTCAGTTCAGTCGTGGTGTTTTTTCTGGCTGCATTAATCTGTCCCATGCAGACATATTTTTCCTGTACAACGTCGATGCTGTAAATTGGTGCTGTGCTGAGTCAGATGTTATGTTTACAGGCTGGAAATTAGCTACCCTTATTTGAGGATTTTTTTTGTGCTATTGATTGGGATTGATAAACAGTGTGACTTTGTTTTTCCCAGGTGGGAATTACCGAGGTGTATTTGCACTCGGCCTAGTTCAGGGTGAATGGAAGATGTATGTGAAAGGACCACTGGACAGAGAGGAACGCAACCTCTACATCATCAATGTCACTGCTAGTGATGGACTCTTTGTTTCCCACACAATTGTGGAGGTGACAGTGATGGACACCAATGATAACAACCCCATTTGTGACCAGGTAGGAAGACACCCTCACATGCTGGTGGGATCTGGAAAAATATTGATATGCAAAAATTGTTAGGCTATTTTATTCTTTTATGAATGTGTGCTTTTATGCAGGTGGTATATACAGCCAGCATCCCAGAGGACCTCCCACTCAGCAGTGTTTTGCTGAGGGTTGGAGCTACAGATGCTGATGCAGGCAGCAACGCTCAGCTCAAGTACTCCCTGCATGGTCCTGGATCCCAGGACTTCATCGTGGATCCAGACACTGGTATGTATGGGAACTCAGTTTCATATTTTAGAGACAATTCAGAAATACTGTATGTTTCAGCCCAAGAACATTTTTAGTGTTTTGTAGACAAAATGTGAATTTTTAAACTATATCCTTTTACAAATAGGAATCCAATCCTGTGTAATATAACATCTGTGTTTCTGGTGTTGGTCAGAAATCTAGCAGCAGAAGTCTGGATGAACTGCAGCTGCTGCTTGGCCAGTAAAGATACTGTTACAACAATCCAACCCACTGAAAATAAAAGCACGCTCCAGCTGTTGTGTGTGGGGATTTGCTCCAACACTCTTTTATCTTTCAGTGTTGAAATTGTTGACATTTTGTTGTAGTTTGTGTTTTCACTAAAGCTGTTGGAAATATATGTTTGTTTGACACACTGTTGTGTCCATGTTGGGTCCCTGGTCTCCAAATGTGCCTTTCTTTGCTTCTCACCTGTCCAGGAGAAATCAAGTCAACAGTGATTCTTGACCGTGAGACCAATCCCAACTACAGATTAACTGCCAGGGCGACTGATGGTGGAGGGCGGTGGTGTCGTGCCGAAGTGCAGCTGGTGGTGACAGATGTGAATGACAACCCACCGCTTTTTACACTGTCACAGTATTATGTCAGTGTGTATGAAGACACTCCAGTAAAGGCTCTGCTCACTCGCATCCATGCCGTAGACCCAGATGAAGGTGATGACAGACCGACTATTACTGCTCAGTTAACATTTATGATGTCGTTGTTACTAATCTTACAGCATGGCCAAATATTTACAAGGACATACTTACTGTTGTACTAATGATGCAGGTTCAGCTTTTTGTTGTAAAGGTTAATATTAGTTTTACATTGTTTTACAAAGTGATTAGATGCATAATTATATATTGAAAATAAGCCTCTAAGGTCACCTTTCAACAAACGACTTTCCAGACAGAGCAATAATGAAGTGGTTTAGATAAAAGCATATTCATAAACATAAAGTAAAAAAAATTTAATGACAGCAGACAATGCAGTCACCATCAGACTTTACAGTTCTCTGATTACAGCAGGTTAAGCTAGTTTACTGGGAGATGGGATGAAGCATCGCACTATAGAGAGAAGAGAAGATTCCCAGGGATAAGGCAACAATGTTTACGGAATGAGTGGTAGTATTTACTGCTCCGCAGACCAACCCATTGCTATAGAGGAAAATATAAGTTTTCATCACCTTTTGTGGATGCTGGAGCCAAGGAAGACTCTCCTGTCTTAACACTGCCTAGCTGGCACAGCTATGCTAGTGCAAATGGCAAGTTTTCTAATGTGAACATTGATGGTTAGCTTCACTACAGACAACTAAAACTGATAGGCTTGCTCCATGTTACTGCTTTGCCTCATGACACATTGAGTAATACTGTTATTTGTTACGATAGTACCGCATGCCCAGCAGTTTGGTGGATCTGATTCTGCAGCATACATAACCAGAGAAGTCAAAGAGATACTAAACAGTGGAGACATCAACAGAGCATGGACACAACATTTTACATGATAATACAAAAATAGAAAATTCAGTGGTTCAAGCTCTGGCAGATTTGCACACACTCTTCAGCTTCTTGTGCTCAGTGTGTAACTGAATGGAGCAGCATCACAGAAACTATGGACATCCTGAAGAAGACAGTTAGTCATTTCAAGAGCTTAGAACTTCTTTTCCAGGCTAAGATTTTAATCCCATATGGTGTTATTTACTACTTATGCTTTATATATATATGTAAATTTCTTTTGCATGTTGTTGGAAAATAAATTTTCATTTATCAATTATGAGGGAAAAGTAACAGAAAGGCTTGCTAGAGATGTACAAAGAGGAGTAACCTACTCCTCTGCAGATCCCTCCTCTGAGGCAGCCATGTTTGATTGCTACTATAAGAAATGACACAAAGCTTTTATGTGATAAATGAAGAAGCTGAAAACGTCCAAATACTCACTACATAAATATTTTGCTTCATAAACAAGAAGGCTCATAAACTTCAAGTACGTAGCTGACAGTTGTTTGTTTCTAAAAAGCAGGTCCGGGTCGCATGGTGGTCTACTCCATGGCTGACTCTGCTGGAGGTTTTTTCTCCATCGATGAGTTCACTGGCATAGTAGTCCTGGAGCACATTCTTGACCGGGAAATCCAGCCGACTCATCAGATAACCGTGCGTGCTTCTGATCAGGGTTCGCCGCGGCCGCTCTTCTCGCTGGTCAACATTACAATTACTGTTCTGGACATCAATGACAACCCGCCTGTTTTTGAGCGCCGCGATCTACTGGCAACCATTCCAGAGGATGTGGGAGTCGGTACTGAGGTTCTGAGAGTGCATGCCGCTAGCAAAGACATCGGGACAAACGCTGAGATCTCCTATAGCATCAGATCAGGCAACGAACACAGGAGGTTCTACATTCATCCCCTGACCGGTAAGTGAGGGAGTTGTTTGTTTGAATTATGCAACCAATGACTTTTGAAATGAAATGAAATGAAATGAAATGAAATG